AAGGCATAAGGGAGGGTGATTATTTCTTCCTTCCATTGCAGTGCTGCCTTATCCGGCACCTTCCAATTCATACCCATTGACATACCCCAAAGATGAGTTATCTAATTGCTACCATGTGAAATTCAATTTAAATACTTTCATGTGTTCCTCCTATGCCTTTTTCCATGGAAGTAGACTGTCCAAGATCAAGACATACCTGACAATTTTCCCTTTAATTCATGAGGCAAAATAGAACCTAGCCCATGCCATAGCCTATCTAAATGCCAGTAAGACCAAAATGATATTGTGAAAGACATGAAAGCACTTCAAAGTAACCAAATTTAGGAATAGCAGAGGAGCATTGCTATGGTTCTTATTCATACATCCATTAAAAGGTGCTTTGGAATTTCAACTGAAAGTGACAATGGGGAAGTATAATGTACTTTTGTTTACCATATCTTCTAGGAAGCAGGAACAGAAAAGAGCATTTTCCCCCTACCTGAACCACAAGATTTCTTTCTGGCTTCCCAAGTCAAGTTTGAAGACCTTGTAAAAGACTTGAGAAAACTGAAGAGGCAACTAGAAGGTAACAGGAACTGTTCTGTTATTATGATAATAGCTAAGATTTTTTTTTTTTTTAATGATTTAGGAGGATGATTTATATGTGGCTCGTGGAATGGAATTGGTGCAGAGTTCAGTCGTGGTACCCAACAGCCCTCATGAAACTTTGCGTCTTGTGCACTTTTTGGAGGCACTGTATTTACATGTCCCTCTCTTTGGCTGGTGTTAATTCATGCTTGTTATACCTACATCCTGTTATATCTACATTTTCCAACATATAATTTTAATAATAATAATAACAGCAACTTTTACTGAATGCTTACTGTTGTCTCGTATGATTTTTATAATAACCCTATACTAACTCCATTTGAAAGATGAGAAAAATGAGGCTTAGAGAGGTTACGTTCACACAGCCAGTGAGAGGCAGATTTACTGAGTTCTAATTAGGTCTGTCTGCATTTTCTAAACTAGTTTGCTATGCTGCCTTCTCTGCCTATGTCTCTGTGTCTCTGTCTCTCTCATACATACACACATACAAATATACATACGTGCATCTCTTTATGTTTGGTTTATGTATATAAGTGATAATGATGGCAAGACCCATAGTAAACATTCTCTTTTAGTTTAATGTACATTTTTTAATTATTCAAAACAAAGTGCTGAGTTTTGAAAGGTGAAAATATGTATCTCTTGGGCAGGAATTTTCCTTTGGCATTTCCAGAGTCTTGCGTTCTCACTGTGGAGACATCTCCTTGTCCAAGAATATAAATGCTTGCATTGGAGTTTGTATAGCTCCAACTGCAGAGCCATACGGAGGATTTAGGGAGCGTGTTAATGTGGAAATGGAGCCCAGAGTGCCAAAAGGAGAGCTTGAGGAAATGAAGAGCTTGAACCAGGAATATTTTTACACTAAGACATAAAATAAACATTTAAAAAATGTTTATTGTGAAAGAGTGCTGAGAAACCTAAATCTTAGACAGAGAACAGCTTGAAAATGGAAGTAAAGTGGGAAAGATCTGTTCCTCGTGGCAGGAAAAGCCATTTATTTATACTTGGGGCATAAAACTTGCTTAAATAAGGATAGTGGTTACAAGTGAATATTTTTACCTTGTAAATTATTTTTAAAGGCACATGTGGATTTTCTTTTCCCTCCTGTTGATGTGGTTGAGAGCGTGAATTCAACCAAGTGAATGCTTTGTCCAGGAACGTGATATGTGAACTTGTGGTTATTCTTTTCCCTTTCCTAAAAGAGAATGACAGTTTTATCCTTGTCTAAGATGAGGAGCTTGATCCTTATTGTAGTAAAGCGGAGTAAGCCATCATGTGGCAGCTTTTTCTGTCCCTCTCCAGTGGCAGAATTAGGGCCCAGGCCAGTCCTCCTGATGGCTGCAAGGTGAGCGGTGGCGGTGAAGACCCATGTTTGTTCACTCCCTGGTCGTCCCTGAATGCCCATCTCCTCATCTCCTGGCCCTTGTAAACTGTTGGCCTGGCCTCTCCTGTAGTCTTTTGAGCAGAAAGATCTATGATCTATGATCCTGATCTATGTTTGATCTTTCCCCTTCTCCTGCCTTCCTTCCAGGGGCTGCCTCTTTCAAGCATCCTGGCTCAGCCACCTCCCTTTGGCGTTTCTGTGTGTTTGAACGTAAATAACAAGAGGATGAGAAGATTGAATTAAGGGGACAGTGGACAGGCAGGGTTTCCCCCAAAGCTTTATCACCTATTTTCTCTAAGGAGATCCTAGGTGTCATTCCAGATCTCGCGGTACTCAACTGACACTTTCCTTAGTCAATTTTAAGGGAATACACCTCTTCTGAAGCTGAAGGAGCTGCCCTATAAAGGAAAACTGAATATCCCCTCAGTTATTTTTCTTCTTTGATTTGGACTTCACCAAACGTCGTGAAGTCCCATAAAGGCAAATGAGGAAACTGGGACTCCCCCCGACACACATTGAATATTTAAACAAAAATGCCCTGCTAATCTTTAGGGATGCCAGTGTTTTTAACACATGAAAGGTACCTAGTAAATATTTAAAGAAAATACAGACCATTGGTTCTCTAATGAATTTCTTTTTCTTCTAAATACCATCTGGCAAGATGGCCAGAGTCGTGGCGGTCCGTTTCATCTCACGTTCCCATTCAGGTTTCACCTCCTTTTCCATAAGGCCTTGGTGTGAGCCTAGATTGAATGTTTAATTGAAGAGGACATAATTTTCACACATACAGCAAAGATTTGATGAGGCTTTGAGGTTTATTGTAGTCATTAAAATGTCGTGGCTGCTGGCAAAACCCCAGAAAATGTCTAAAGCTAAACCAGATGTGATTAGCAAATTTCAAGAAGTCTCAGGCCCCAGTTCTCCCAGCAAGTATAGCCCTTTGGTAGAAAATTGTTTTGAGTAACATGAGCCACACCTTAACCCTAGGATATGAATTAAAGTGTGGTTGTCAGTTGTACAAATGTCACTGATAGAAGTAGAGGTTGTCAATTAGCATCTTTCACAGAGACAAAAACTTTGAATAGCACTTTTACATAGGTAAACACAGCAAGGAATGGATGATAATAGTAGCAGCTATGATTTATTGTGTGATTATTATCTATCAGGTGCTTTACATATATCATTTATTTTAATCCTTACAATGACCCTGTGAAGTAAATCAGTGGTCCCCAACCTTTTTAGCACCAAGGACCAATGCTCCTATGAGAATCAAATGCCTAATGATCTGAGATGGAGCTGAGGTGGTGATGCTAGTGCTGGGGAGTGGGTGCAAATACAGATGAAGCTTCGCTTGCTTGCCCGCCAATCACCTCCTAATTGCTCCCTCCCTCCCCTGGCCCTCCACCTGTGCAGCCTGGTTCCTAACAGGCCACAGACCGGTACCAGTCCACGACCTGGGGACTGGGGATCCCTGAAGTAGATATTATTACTGATCTCTCACTAGAGGAGGAAACTGAAGTTTATGGTACTCACATAACTTGCCGAGTCACTTCACAGGTGATGACCTAGCCACTAGATGTGACACTAAGCCATGTATTCATGACATATCCTGCCTGTGGCTCGAAAGTCTCCATATCGTATCAGAGATCAAAATGGAAAGTATGTTAAAGGTATAAAGCCTCATGAAGATACAAATTACAGAAAGAGAGTCACCGAACATGTGTGTATGAGTGCAAGTGGGTTGTACACACACACTAGTAGAACCACTTATGTAGACCCTCAGATCAGATGGCGACAGGAAAGAACTTACTTTGGGCTGGAGATAGGGATGGGGAAGATGTATAGGAGAGATGGGTTATAAAAGTGAAAAGACACAGTATTGCATAAGATTAGGACCTCAGGCTTTGTAATCAGATAAGTATTTTTTACTGGTTTGGTGAAAGCAAGATTTTATCAAGTACCATAACCATAAAAAGTATTCATTTTCTCACCTGTAAAATGGGACAATTATAGTACCTGCTCCATAGGAGGTAATGAATGCACAGTTCCTTAGGAAGGAAAGCTACAGTAAAGCTGATTAGGGGTATGTACTTTTTTTCGGAAAATACACAACTTGTAGAATCAGGCCCATATTGTTGCAGAATCAACTGGCTGTGTTTGCAGAGAATCTAATTCCAAGAGGACTTGAGCTCACTTCTCTACAATTTGAAGATAGAACCAAGTTCCTGTTGCCTGGGAACAAGTTCCATATTTTGTTTACTGTTCTGTATCCTTTAATGAGACAATAATTTTAATTTCTCTGATACTGTGATAGATATTATGAGTAACAGTTGGGGAAACCCAAGCAAACTGTAGGAATAACTGCTCTCTTTCTTATTCTTCGACCTTCTTTGCTGACCAGAATTCTGAAGGTATTCTTACCATCGCATGTGTGGTAGGCAGAATAATAGCTCCCAAAGATGCCCAAATCCTAATCCCTGGAATCAGTGACTATGTTACCTTACATGGCAAAAAGGGACTTTGCTGACATTGAGATGAAGAGATTATCCTAGACTATCCAAGTGGGCCTAATCTAATCACATAAATCTTTCAAGTGAATCTTTAAAAACCAACAACTTTCCTTGTCTGTGGTCAGCGGGAGATAGTACAGTAGAATGATCAGAGAGATGTATTGTTGCTAGCTTTGGAGGTGGAGGAAGTGGGCAATGAACCAAGGAATGCAGGAAGCCTCTAAAACTGGAAAAGGCAAGGAATAGATACTCCCTGGAACCTCCAGAAGGAAAGGCAGCCCTGTCAGCACTTTGATTTTAGCCCACTGAGACCCATGTCATATGAGAACTCTGAGTAATATGTTCGTATTGCTTTAAGCCACTTTTGTGTTAATTTGTTATAGTAGCAATCGGAGACAAACACATCATGCAATGTATCCTTTCTGATTGTGCCAGTTAATACATCACACACACACACACACACACACACACACACACACACACACACACAATCACTGAGACCATAGATATAGGATTTCTCACGTCCTGGCACTCACCAGTATTACATGCAGTGTGAATTAGTGCTCTCCAAAAGAGTCTACAGTTCAATAAACCTGGAATTGCTCTATCCTAAAATCATATCCTAGGGATTCACAGTGCACACATAGTTATTAAAGATTCTGGGAAGTCCTGCAGTAAAAAACAAAGCAAAATGGTTTAATCCTGTTTAAAGCAGCATTTCTCAACTTAAAACATTGTTTTTTCTTTCACTGACTACTTAGTAATATGTGGCAGAACATGCATTCTGTGAGATGTAGTTTAAGAACAGATATTGATATTATTATCAGATTTTTAACATAAAGACACAATTGTTGGTTAATCATCATGACTGGATGACCTTAATGGGAGGGGCTGCGATGAACAATTACAGCCTTGCCCTTTAATATCTCTCTTAATACTCCCTGGCTACACTGTCCTTACTGAGTTTGTTATCCATGCAAACAAACAGAGCTGGTCAAATCCTTTCTGATGTCTTGATGCCTGAAAGCCAAAATGAATAATATTAGTGGTATTCAAAATTACTCTAGTGTCACCCCCCCACCA